TCTTAAAGGGACCTCAACTTACAGTGACACAGTCCACAGGCTAGGCGTCCCACAGGTAGTGTAGCCTGTAAATTGAGGCACAGAACAAGCAAGGCAGCCGCACACTGATCCAATGATCAAAGAACGAGAGACAAGAAAGGCGAGGCTCACCGAGCCATTTGTCTTTCTGCCCTTCAATTAATCCCACTTGTGTTTACCAGCCAGGCTGGCACAATAGACTATCTCAGGGGGATAGCTGGATTCTCATTTAGAAGTGCTTATGTGTACTGAATCCTTCGTAGTAAGTTCTCTCTCAAGAAAGACTTTTATGGTAAACCATTTTGTATTATATTTAGGAATACAGAAATAAACTTAGCAGACAATCCATCCTTGATTATTGGCATCAATAACACAGAAAATGTGTTGTAAGATTCCTACAAGTCATGTTTATATGTTCCTATTAGTTGCTAACAACTATTTATCACAGATTTCTTCCCTTGGTTTATTTTTTTCTCTCCAATTCCATTTTTTATTCTGTCTTGTGCTGTCAGCATGGGCATAACTCTACCTCCTTTAGTTCCTGAAGCAATATAGTTCTCACTTGGGGCAGATATTGAGGCCTTTGAAGAGGAAGAACAGGAGTGGACAAAACTTAATGGCAATGTCTCCCAGGCCCTGTCTTCCTGGCATTTCTCTTGTTTAGTCTGGGGCCACCTTCTTTCACGCTGTAATCACAGATTCTTCTTAGCCTTCCTTCATAAAATTTTAGCTGTCGGTTTTTTTCTTTTCTTCTCCCTATAAGATGCTACCTCCTCCACCTTGTTAAGTCAGTTCATAAAACTAGTCACCAAGAAATCTCTTCCACCTTATAAGTGGACTATTTGTATCAGATAGGGGATTCTTTCTTGAGTCTGTTTAGATAGAACTTAGTAAGGGTACAGTTCACAGAAGCAGGGCTAAAAGAGAACCTAGAATTCTCCTATATGAATGTGATCTTTAACTAGAGATAAACATAGCTTACCAATATCTTCCTGTGGAGAGGAAGTGGTGTATCAAAGGTCTCTGGTCTACTGGCAAGCTCTCACATAAGTCCAACCCAGAACCATAAGCAGCAATCATGTTTACCAGCCTTGAAGCTCTTTCTCATATTTATAAGCAAACAAATGTGGCGACCTTTGGGTTTTGAGTATGTGGTCTGAAACAAGCTAAGGAAAAGACATGCGGTTGTATGCTTGGAATTAACCAGCCCAGTACTTCGTGGACAATCACAGAGATTGTTAAATGACAGCAGGCATGGATGAAAGAACTCCGCAATTCCAGTGCTCATTTCCTAACGATGCTTATTCATGGACTCAGTGTGATGTCTCCTTTGGCACTGGAAGCAATATGACGTAGTCAAATGCCTTCTCTGGAAAATAAAGATAAAAGCTTATTAAATGAAAATATTGTTAATTTATCACATGTGTTTTAAGTTATATATAAAGGATTC